TCAGCTGCTCCTCCCCACACTTGGGCTCTAGACCCTTCCCCAGCAGCTTCGTTGCCCTTCTCTGCCCACGCTCCAGCCCCTCAAGGTCCTTCTGGGAGTGAGGGGCCCAAACCTGACCCCAGGATTTGAGGTGCAGCCTCCCCAGTGCCCAGGGAGGCGATGGTTCCTGCCAGGCTGTAGCACAAAGCAAGGAGCCAGGCTCTGCCCAGAGAACTTCACCCAAATACTCACTGGGCAAATCTGTGCCCAAATAGAGAGCGGGTATTGAGCTCCTCTGGGGTCCTGACAGGCTGTGGGGATGCTCACCTTCCAGTCCCTGCATCTGCCCTGCTGCCAGAAGAAACCTGTCTGACAGCAGAGCTGGGGAAGGAGATGTGCTTCAGGAGAGCTCTCTGTGAGAGCTCATCTGCTGTGCCTGCCTGTGGGGGGGACAGTCAGTGCCCAGCCTGGTGGGAGGGAGCAGTCGGCTGGGAGCTCCCTAACGCTGCCCTTTCAGCTCCAGAGGAAACGTTTTGATTGAGCAGTGACACGTTTGAAGTTTCAGAGGTGGGGTACCTGGCACCAGCAGCAGCCAGAGGCAGGACAGGAAGGTGAGAGCCTCGTCTTTCACTACTGGCAAACAGTGTTTTGCTCCTATTGGAACAACGACCTTCTAGAAGGCAGATGGGTTTCTGTTGATGCTTGAAACCGGTCAGGCTGCTGCTGAAATCGTGTCCTTGCTCGGGGAAGCAGGAACGCCCCGAGGGGGTGGAGGCGTGTTCTGCTGCAGGCCTCGGGTTTCAAAGCCTTGCATCAGTCTGAGCTCTGCAGGAGGACGGGGAGGGCTGGACTCGGTGTTCTCTGAGTGCACAGGAGGATCCGGGGGCCTTGTTCTTGGATTTGCAAAGAGGGCTCCTTTGGTCTTGCTGTAGCCACTTCTGGAGGGACAAACATCTTCTCAGGACCTGTTTGTACAGGAAAATTATGCTCGTTGCTGCCACTGAGACTCTTTCTCTGGACACTTGTTCTGAAATACTTGTAGCCTTTTGCATTCTGGCCCGAGTTCATTTTCTCCTTGATAGTGTCTGACTGTTGCAAGAGAGTTCCCTGAGGGAGGTTCCTGGTGCAGTTTTGCACTGCTTTGCTCTGAGGGGTCACAACACCACCGTGGAACAGGAGGAGATCATTGCAGGGACCACCAGGACAGCTTTATGTCCCTGGAAAGTCGGCTGGCTGTGGTCAGGTTGCCAACCCCCTTTTAGCAGCAGCCTCTCCATTCCAAGAGCCAGTGGGGTCCCTGACTTGATTGTACAGCAGGAGAATTGCTCTCCTGGTTGGAGGGCTGGGAGAGGGGAAGGGAACAGTGTTACCTGGGCTCACAGTTGTCTCTTCCACGTCAGGGGTCCGGGCTCCCTGCTGCTCACTGCCCACAGTCCAGTACCGTGGTGGGTGCAGCCCTGGGTGACTGTTCATGGGCAGAGATGCCTGTGCATGAGGATGCTGCCAAAACTTGACCCTTCTCCACCTAACTCAGCCCTCTTGCTGTGTCAGGGGTGCTGCCTACAGGTGGGGGATGTCTCTGACTGCAGCCCTTTGCTGTTTGTGTCCAGGTGGCAGGGCCACGGCTAGCGCTGACAGGCCTGAGGCTGAGGAGAACAAGGAGGGATTCCTTTCCAAACTTAAGAAAATGTTTAGCTCCTGACACCCCACCCGAGGTAGGAGGCCTCTTGTGTTGTTTTTTTGTCACCTTTCCCCCCACGCTGAGCTGAATTTGCACTTCTTGGGAGGTAGAAGCAGCAAAAGCACAGCGTTGCTTCTCACTGAGCCTCAGGCCTTCCAGCCACCCCCTGAAAACCTCTGGCTGTCCCCTGTGACCTGCAGCAAAAATCCAGGGACTCAATCCCGTTGTCACTGCAGTGGAGGTGCTGGGAGAAGGGTGGAGATGCTGTCAGGGCAGCTGGTGTCCTGCACAGCTCTGCTCCCTCGGCTGCCCCGTGACTCGGAGCGCCGAGGGCGTTCCCCTGAGCAGCTGGTGGGGGAGAGCTGCAGGCTCAGGTCACCTGTAGACACCCATGTCCTGGGTGCCACCTAGGTGCCTTCCTGCCACCACGGGCTCCAGACTTCTCTGCTCTGTGCGGGGGCCAGGTGCTCTTGCAAAGCAGGCTGTGGGGGGACAGGATCAGGAAACGTTCAGCTCCTCTCTTCCTTCATCCGCAGGGAAGCGTTCTACTGGGAACTGAGAGCCACCAGCAGCAGCAGCAGGTCGCCTTTGCAGTTGGGAATGAACCTTTCTGGCTCTGGAGAGCCGAGGACGTGGCAGCAGCACGGTGAGAGTCCCTGCTGGAGAGGCCAGAACCACCGAGCAGCAGGATACAGCCCCACCCACCATCCTGGGAGCTGGTAACGAAGGCGAACGCCGGCTCTCCTGGGGTCGTTCCACAGTCCCTACTGCTGCTGGAAGCTCCTCTGGTAAAAATTCACATCCAGATATTATTTAGAATCCAAACCAGTGAAAAAAATGTGAAATAAAAGTTGTCCTTCCGGCCCTGAGTGGAGCCGTTTGCTGCTGTGTGGAGTCTGAGGTGGCTGCTGCTCACTCAGGTGCCCTTCTGAATGTAGCGGTGCTTGGTGAAGGTGTCACCCTGTCACCATCACTGCTGACCTCCTCCCAGCAGCCCGGTGGGTCAGCGAGGTTTAAATTAACCCTGTCTGCAGCCAGCCCTCCCACCTCAGCACAGCTCAGCGTGGGCAAGTCTCCCCGGGGGGCTCCTAGTCCTGCTGACCTCTCCCTTGCCCCCCCAGACTCACTGAAGTTACAACGCGAACGCTGTCGCTGCCGAACAGGTACAAGTTTTATCACCAAGCCCTGTGCCAGTGTGGGGACAGAGTGTTTTATTATGAAGTAGCATAAATGATTGGTCAGAGTCCTTGTTCCTGTGCGTGTGAGAGGACGGGGGAAGCAGATGGCTCCTTCCAGAGGGAGTGTTTTCATGGTTGCTGTAGCTCGCTGTTGTTACTGACACCATGCAGGTACCACCACCCCACCTACTAATCGACCAGTTAAACAAGGACATGTTGTAGTCTTGCCCTTCTGAAATCTGCTGAAATAAAGCACGCGTTGCCTCCCGACAGAGCTGTCTGTAAAGTGAGTCTGTATGCTTGTACATAAGATGGACTTCATAAAGGTATTTAACATGAGCTGTGCCTCGCTGCCTTCTCTGCTCCCCCAGCCTCGAGGTCTCCCCCTGTCCCTCCCCAGGGACAGAAGGAAGGGCTGCTCTCAGGGCTGCATGGCCTGAGCTGCTCAAAGCCCAGAGCCTGTAGCCGAGCACAGCCTGAAGTGTACAGTGGTGTGGGGGAAGGAGCTTTTCAAGGGAGTCTGAAATCCTAAAGTTGGGATGGGGCTTGGAGCAACCTGCTCTAGTGGGAGGTGTCCCTGCCCATGGCAGGGGGTTGGAACTAAGGTCCCTTCCAACCCAAACCAGGCTGTGATGGTCTTGCAAAGGCCTGACTCGACTCCCAGAGGCAGCCCCAGAGCACAGACAAGAGCTGCCCACTCAAGGAATGGGGCTGAGCTTCCTTGTTGCCAGCACAGGACACCTCTGCACAGCCCCTTTTTGCTCCCTCTCTCCTTAGTGTGCTACTCAGCCTATAGTGCCTCAACCTGGCCCATGGAGAAGCCTCACGGGGGGTTCTGTCTGCTGGCTGGAGGTGGCTGCAGCAGCTGCAGAGCCCAGAGCTACCATGTGTTCAGCCCACCCTGTGGAAAGGAAACGATCCTGGGAAAAGAAGTCACTGCCACCACCCTACAAGCAAGGAGAACACCCAAAATCACCACACAAAACACCTCCCTGAAGCCAGCGTGTGCAGGGAGCACTCCTCCCACCTGCCTGCAGTTGTGCAGCCACTCCTCTGGCTCTGCTGGCACTGCTGCAGGCACCACCAGCTCCCAGGGGAGCCTTGGGGAGCACACACGGCCCCGAGCTCAGCCCAGCTCCCCAGGCAGCCTTCCACAGCGGCGTGGCACCCCCCCCAGCTCACCCCCTGGGTGCCCGGGGGCACGAGGAGGGCGGGCAGGCTCAGAGGGCAGCCTTGTTGTCCAGCAGCCACTGCTGGAAGGAGCGTGCCCTGGGGTTGAGGGCCACGGTGAGGGCCACGCTGCGCTCCGGCCGCAGGGCGTAGAAGCGGAACATGGCTGCCAGCTCCCCGGCCCCCGGGAAGCCACGGCTCTCAAACTCCTCTGCTGACATCTGCAAGGATGGAAGTACAGGTTGGGGGCTGACCTGCTG